CCGATAAACTTTAAAATATTTTAGCTCTTAATCACGTAGAGAAAGTTATTTGTTTCTAAATGATCTATTAATTATTATTTACTTAAAATTCAATATAAAACCAAGAAAAAATCTAAATTACCTATGGCCTGGTTAATTATAATTTACAATGAAGTCTGCCATAATAAACTTTAAAACATTTTGGCAGCTTATCATTTGTAGAAAGTTATTTATTTCTTAATTATCTATTACTTGACCTATTCTGTAAATCGAAGCTAAAAGAACCCCCTAGTCGTTCTCAGTGTATCTATTGCCAGTGTCCACATCCGTACTTGCCCACCCCTTAACCCTTTACTGGCCGCCTTTTTCCTGTCGTGCCACAACTACAACATCAACTCACCCGAATCCTTTCCGCTTTTCTCTCCCGTAGACTTTTGCTGTTGGACCGCGATCGCCAGAATGGCGTGGTGCGTGGAAATTCGCCGCCGCCCACTTATCGATCTCATGCGGGCAGCCTGCTGAGGTAAGTACTTCCGTTTCCGCCGCAATCCTCCCCAGAAATCCTCCCCAGACCTTCTCCTTCTTTTTCCTCCTCAACCTTCGACTTTTCCGTTCCGCCATTCGTGAGTTATTTGCAAAGTTTGGCGCCTGCCAAACCGCAAAATGTTTTCCAGACTGCCGAGGAGGAAAATTCGGGGACGGGACATTCGAGATCTGGGATCTGGGGTGACTCTGCTCCGGCGGTTTGGCTTTTGTGCGGTTTCCAAGGGTGTCAACATTGACACATCGCCTTTCAGGGGGCGAGAAAAGTTTTTGGGGAATTTTCGATTTTTCCCATTCGAAGGGATGACTCGAATCAAAAGATTGCCTGATGATGGCAGCAAACACTCGGCAATTGATTCGGCAACTAATTGAAGAGATAAAGCAATCCTCCCCGAGAATATATATGAGCAATCTGATTGCAAAGCGCCCTCCATCAAAAAAAAAAAAAAAACATGAGTCACACAATGGCAATTTAAATGACAAGGACATTTCCGAAAAGTGGGTGGAAATGCTGGAATAATTATCGCCCGGAACGCATAATGTTGGGCTAATGAGAAAAGTTGATTTTTATGGCCTACAAATTACGGCCCGCCCGAGCAGCAGACAATGGCAACTTGAATTTCGTATTTAAATAATATTTGTAGCTCGTTTTAGAAAATTGCCACTCAAACCGTAACGTATTTGTGTCAAATTAATTTACTTTACTCACACACACTTGAATATTAATAATGTGTGTAATGCAAATGGAAAGGCAACATGGAAAGCTGATTTCGGGGTTTTACTTTACCAGCCACACACTTAGGTTAGCCGAAAAATGCCAGCGGAAACGGAAGGAAGAGGAAGAGCAGCCAGGAGAAGTATGTCAAAAGCAAAACTTATGCAAAGTGTGTGGCAAGAAATCACAGCATACTTTAAGGCAGTCCCTAACTCAGGGTTTTGGTGTACACTGATAAAAAATAGGAATAGTTAAAGTCAATACCTACGAAATTACTGAATTAAAAATTGTATATTTCCTAATAAAATACATTTCGAATAATAAAATCATAATTATAAATACAATTATATAAAAGTAAATGAATTAATGTGGGGAAATATTAAAGTTTGTTTAAGTTTAACATAATTTAAATTTAAATTCAATTTCTAGATATTGAAATATTTTGAAAACAGCAAAATGAATTTTAAACAAAAATGTAATATTAACATGTTTTAAAAAAACCAAAGTAAATAGATAATAATCAAACATAAAAACTTTTAAAATAATTTTGAAATACTTAAATTTACTACGGTTTTTTTAACAGCATATGAGCATATTCAAATGACTATAGTCTGGGTGGAAGGGATTCAAAACTGGCAAAGAATTCAGGGAAAATTTTGCAAAATATTTACACACACGCGCGCACTTGTGAAGAGCCTGCCAAGCCGCATAACAAGCAGGCTTTTGGAAAAGATGGGGAAATCGTCCCATAGAAAATGCTCCAAGGACGGAAAACTGTCCTTGCTGCCGGCCAAGTCAATTAAACAAACAAAAGGGCCGGCCAAAGTGCTGCGAAAATTGCCTGTTATGCACAGCACAGCACAGCACATCACATCACATCGCATCCTGGACAATGGAGGCCAACATATAGATAGGCCCGATTCCTGCAGGATGACTTATTTTCCTGTTTCCGTGCGCCCGGCGTCTTTGTCGGAACAATTAAATGCAATTTTACATACTCCAAATTGCTCCATACAATTTGTGCGACCTTCTTGAATTTTGAGAAATCAACCAGCCACGCCCACTGGAAGCCCAGTCACGCCCCCTTTTGCGAGCTCTCGGCAGGGCCATTATGTGCAGATGAGCGTTTGAGTGTTGACTTTTGTGCTCTGCCGACTGAAGTGTGAATTGTCTGTGATTTGGGTATAGTTCCCCTCCCCCGAAAAGCCCCCACCTTCAAAAATATCTTCTTTCAAATCCATCCCCTTTAGATCCCTTTCTTTTCACCTATCGCACATGCACATGGCAACAATTGCCACAGCGGCCTTTTGTTATTTAAATTGGCAAAGATGAGAATATAGAGAATACACTCTCGCTTATACGCACTCGTCTGTTTGAAAAGGCACAGAGTCGCCATATATCTCATACATACTGATGACTGCCAGTATTTGGGTGCACTGAGAAAATAAAATTAAAGTGATAGGTATTCAGCTTAAAAGACATATAAATAATACATATTTTTAATTTAATAAATAAACAATTTGATTTTGTGAGGAAATATGCTAAGATTTTTATTTATTTGACAAAAATGATTTAAAGTTATCTGGATTAAATGATTAACTACTCAATAACACGGCTTTGTTTAGTCTTATAATAAGTGCTTTTTAATTTAGTTAATATTTGTTGAAAAATAAAAAAAACTATTATTGATAAACCAAAGAAGAACTAGTTAAAATTATTATTTTCTTCAAATTTACAAAATTAAATTCTACCATTACTACTATTAATAGTTTTTAATACATGGATATAGACACAATTATATATCGAAAGCCAAGGCTAATTTATTTCTCAGTGCATCCGGATAGACACAACTTGTACTCCTTTTCTCATGGATGCAAATTTGTGCATTTGGTTAACATATTTGCCATCTTCTTATGCCCGAGAAGGGCAAACAGAGCCGGATTGACTTTGGCTCATGTGTAAATAATTCATGTCTTTGATTCACTGACTTGCAGGGCTCCACTGACCACCCTGCGATCCGGAATGGGAGGCGGGGGCGGCGGAGGAGGCGGGGCCGGAGGAACCATCAGCAGCAGCATGGGCGGATCGGAGTACAGTCTGCCGCCCAGCTACCGCTCCAGGAACGCCACGCCCTCCAGTCTAGTGTGCAGCGAGCGGAACATCGAGACGGCTCCGTCCGGAAGACTACTGGCCAACGAGGACCTGCAAATGCCGGAGCCGTCGGTGGTGGAGCAATTGCCGGACTACACGGCGCTGCAGTCGAACACATTGCTCACCTCGGCCATTGTGGAGATAGAGTCCTCGAATCGGATGCCAGAAAGGGAGTCCAGCACCTCGAAAAGCAAGGATCTGGTGACCATAGTGACCATTTCCCAGTCACCAGGAAGCAGCCACAGCCAAACCCAAACTCAAACTCAAACTCAAAATCCAGCTGGCCAGGCCAGTGCCCTCGATCAGATCGATATATTGGCGCATCTGTAGCTATCGAACTGATACTTCAGTTTGAATACTTCAGACACTCGTGTTAACCCAAAGGTATTTATTTGTACGGAACTCAAGCTGCTCCTAAATGAATATATATATAATGTAACCCCTATCTGTAAACCGTAAACTGTAAGCTGTTTGTTGTACTTGAATGTGTTGAATTTATTTTTGTAAGCATTAAGCAGATGCGCAGCGTAGTTATTACGAATTCTAGATACTTGCAATTATACATATATACGCCTACCCATTGAAGTATTAAAGTATCCAAAAAGAAAATCAAACAAATGAAAATGTTAAAACAAGAGACACTCTGAAACTCTAAAACTCTGAAACTATCGAGCTGTAAATACGAAAATTTCGAATGCATTTCTAGCAACTAAACTATAAAACCAGGCCAGAAACGAAGAGCAAAACTAAAGTATATAGTGTATTGTAGGTATGTGTATCCCTTGGGATATATGCATAACTCGCAACGGAACGCTACGGTGACAAATTTGGCGCGCACTTTCGGAAACCACGAATATCCAACTGAATACTGAACTTCGATGTCGATTTCGATTTCTGAATGCGTTTCGCACAAAAACAAAACATAGGTAGACCTACCCCTAATGATATATAAGTTACGACTAATTGTATGCGTGTCCTGCACGAGTACAACACACACAAACACACACACACATACACACGCAAACACAAAAACACACTCACACACACTCGATAACTAACTTAAAGTCCTTTACCGTAATGTGCAAGGCGACGTAAACTAAACATGAGAAATAAAACCCAACAAATCGTTGAAAAATGCCACAAAAACCCCAAATTGTTTTTCTTTCCTCGGGAAAAGTGAGGAGGAATGTGGCAGCAGGAGAAGGGCGTGGCAGCACGTCCTGATCCTGCTTAATCTAGCGTGAATTTTGCTGCCATCGTCAGGCCTGTGAAGTTTTGTTTTCAGAGGGGTTGCAAATCCGTGGTTCCCTTGGAGTCCCAGCGATTAACACCCAGCCCCAAAAACACCCACTCACACCTTACAACCGAGAGCCGAAAAAATAAAATACCAGGCTCAAATGAAACCAACAAAAATCGGTTAAGCATGAAATTGCTGTAACAGTGCGTATGTGTGTATGTGTGCGGGCGGAAAACAAAAACTGTTGCATACTTTCAGGCAGCCAGTGGAATTCATGTGTGTGGGCATCAAACCGGAAGTTGCCAACGATTATGACATTACATGCGGAGTAAATTAGGATTCCAGTGTTCGCCGACCACAACAAAAACTCATTCATTAAACGCGAAAAAGATTTCGAAATTTATTCACTTGCTGATCATTTACAATTTACAATCGAATTATGGATAATTTACAACATACAATTTATAAATAAAATAAGCAACTGCCTGCTGAAGCAACCTCGTTTGACTTTTTCGATTCCGATGCGTCGCCAATCGATTTGGGGAAATCCTCTCGCGCGATTTGTAAGCTTTTGGTTCCCGGTTGATCAACAGTTTCCAGGCTCAACTAAGTAAATTAACGCTGGCCACAGTATACATATATATATTTATATATATATAATTAGCGTGTGGGATCGGTAGTTCGGTTATGATACGATGTTTGAATAAATAATAGTTGTGTTGCGGTGTGTTGTGTTGGGCATCATATATAATTTGCTAGCTAATTCGATTTCGTGTCGTTTGCAGCTACGGTTTTGATTTAGAGTGATTCGTTTTCATCATTTAAAATTAGGATAACATTTGTGTGCACAATTCAAAAACAAATTGAAATAATAATTGTTACGCATTATTCACTCTGACAATTGCAATAATAAGCTTTAGATATCCAAGTAATCCGAGGATTGTGTAGATAGTTTTTGTTGTTGTTGTTGGTTAGTGTGCGTGATCCCTGAAGTCGAACAAAATCATATGGTCGGCGACTTAGCGCGCGTGATTCTTGCAGAAGGGACGTCCGCCTTTGTTGTAGAAGCTCTGACCCTCCAGGTTCTGTTTGCAGAACTGTAATACAGATTTTAATTAATTTATAATTTACAAATAATAAATTAAAACATATAATAACACTTTAGTCGATTTTTTGAATATAAAATACCCGCTACTCAGCTAAAGCTGACGTCATAAATAAAACTTTACTATGTACTTTTAAAAAAATGGTTCGTTTTGTATAATTTTTGGTGTGTATTGATATATCAATATAGATATTGACCTAATGAACATATATTACCTTATAACTTAAACTATACTTTACTAGTAAAGAGTATTTGAATATCAAGATTTACGTACCGTGCAGTTGAAGCATTGGCTATGGTAGTTGTGGTTCAGGGCCTCCACCCATCGGTCGCCAGCTTCCACGGGGAAGCCGCAGGCGAAGCACTTGGTGGTGAACAGCTCGTTCCAATCGGCCTCGCAGTAGGCATTTCCATCCTCCAGGAAGAAGGGCCTGTTGCCAAAGATCTTGCCGCACTGGCCGCAGGTGAAGCACTCCGGATGGAAGTGCTTGCCAATGGCATTCAAGCAATCACCCTTTTGTGGGGGAAATACAATGTTTAGTTTAATAAACCAGGAGAGACTAATTTAAGCACTCACCTTGATCTTGCCAGCGCACTTGCTGCAGGTGGGCGCCAGGTACTTCTCGAAGCAGTACTCGCAGTACAGATCGCCCTTCTCCTCAACGAATCCAATGTCCTGCAGCGGACGACGGCAGTTGCCGTTCACGCAGATGAAGTGATCCGGGCACCAAATGCGGCCAAGAGCCGTGATGAAGGGTCCTCTGGTAAAGCGAAATAAAAAAATAAAATTAGTAAGCGAATAAAACGATCACTTGGGTTTTGAAATCACTTGTAAAGGTGTCCATTTTGAGTCAGAAAGTGAATCTGAACTCTGCAAACCTTTATAAGCGATTTCAAAACTTCAGTAAATTCCACATATTTAAAACAGTTAATTAAACAACGAACAAAGGTCAAGCTGAACTGTTTTCTACTTACGAGGTGATCTCTTTATTGCACTGACAGCACACGGGACGCTTACCCTCCTTGAGCAACTGACTCACGGCCCTTTCGTTCTCCTCCGACATGGTTTTCTGATCCTCACTATGAGGACCCAGGGCCTTTACGGACACACTGTAGGTGGGTGAGCTATTCTGGGTGCCATTTCCATTCTGATCTGCATTCTGATTAGCATTCTGACTGGCAGCTACGGATGGTCCCTGCTTGGGTTCTATGTAGGACCTCCGATCAGCCGCATGGGTGGCTCCTGTGCGTCTCAGATTGTTCCTAAATGCCACCGGTTCGGGTGCATCGATGGCCTTGCCGCCATCGCAGAGATCCAGTATCTTGCCCATGGGATGTTGGGCAGGGAGTTCCATTTGCAGGGTCTGCTCCACCCGGGGAACCTGCGGTTGTGCCCTTTGGTTTCCCACCTCTGCAGGCAGATCCTTCTGGGAATGTACGGCTACAACAGGCTGCAAAGCCACCGGTTGGGTGGGATCCAAGTTCTTGAAATCATCGAGATCGAGACGTTTGCGCACTATCATCGGACTCTTTGAGAGATTGGAGCTACTGTTGCTGCGCAGACTCAAAGAGCTTCCGGCATGGGAAAGTGGAGCACTCGGTCCACCATTATTGGCCAATCGTGCCTCCAACATATTGTTGATGATTTTGCCAGCTTCCTGCATGAAGGCATGGGTTTTGTCACCCATATCAATCTTTCCAACGGATTCGGCCAGCAAGGAAGTGGCATCCGATTCCTGATGAGGCTCCTTATCCATTTCGTGGGCGGCTAAGTCAGTTGCCTGAGGATGGGGGCGTGGCAAGGTAGCATAAGTTTGAGGATTAGCATGCGGATTAGTGACCTTGGCAGCGGTGGCAACTCCTGTGGGAACTGCAACAAAACGGAGGAAACAAAACACAAAAAGCGAGCGGGTTAGATTAGTTGCAGGTAATTAGTGGGAATCAGGCTGGGATCGAGCTCTTCAGTAGGAAGCTGATCACAAAAAATAACAGAGGTAACACTTAGTCAGATATCAAAATCATCACAAAAGTCTGTAGATATACCTAATTCCTCTTTGGATTAGTAACTTTCAATGCCACAAACAAACACAAATCAAAAGACAAAGTCAGATATCCATAAGTTCTTCGTTGGATTAAACATAAATCAAAAGATATCAAAACCATCTATTGACATTCTGGATTAGTATCTATCTCAGCCACAAAATAAACACAATTCAAACTCGGAAGGCCACAACAACAAACCAACTGGGATGCTCTGTTCACCTGATCTGCACGTTGCAGCTGTTGCACAATGGGATGCGGACTCCTGGTCCGGCGGCCTTGTTCAGGATGCCCCTGCCCCTCTTGGGCGCCGAGGTGGCTCCGAAGGCTCCTGCGCTCTTGTTGCCGGCACCTGCAGAATCATCCACATTAGAGTTCAGATTCAGATCGCTCAAATCTGGCGGGAAAACAGCGGGCGCGGGCGGAGCAGCAGCATTAACAGCGTTCGCAATCACCGATTTTGGCGCAATCGGGGCTTTAGCTTTAATTGGAGCTGCTGATGGAGCTGGAGCTGGAGCTGGAGCTGATCCTGGAGCTGTGATGGAAGCGATGGATGGCCGCGAGGCCAGATTAGGCTTAATGGTGCTGGCATTGCTGCTCCTGTAGGCCATGGTGGCCTGGTTATTAGTGGTGGTAGTAATAGCAGAAGCTTGGGTTAGACTTTGCGACGATCTCGATGCTGAAGCAGATGCTGATGCTGATGCTGATGAGGATGATGCTAGCGATGAGGAGGTGGTTTTCTGGCTCTGCTGCACCGATGAAGTGCTGGTTGCCTGGTAGCCGGAGAAGGCAGATCTTTGCTGCTGCTGTTGCTGCAGGATGAAGCCAGGTGGTGGTGCCATTAGCTTCTCTGTTGCCAGTGGTGCTGTTGCATAGCCAGGCACAATGGACTCCGCGGAAGCTGGTTTCAGTGGAAACTTTGAGTCAAATGTGGGGGACCTTAGGTTCGGGAAGCAGCCCTCTCCAAGAGCAGAGGCCCGGGCACTGATGGCTTGAGACTGACTGGTCAAGCTGCTGATCTCCTGCTCCAAACAGGACAGACGCTTGGCCTGGTTGGCCACAAATCCAGTTTTGCCGTACGAAGATCGACGCTCGGTATCCGATTGGGTTTGCGATTGAGCCTGGCTTTGGCTGACCGACGAGGATTGACCCCTAGACTGGCTGAGGGACTGAAATTGACCCCTGCTCTGACTGGTCGACTGCGAGCCAGTGCGTATCTCAATGGTCTTGGCACTTTGGGTGCGCTCAAACTCCTCGGTCACCTTGCGACGTCTCTCGATCTGGGTGTTTCCCACCTGGCTGCGCGTTTGACTCTGCGACTGCGACTGGGCCTGCTGCTGCAACTGGGAGGACTGCTCCCGCTGCTGGATGCTCAGATTGCCCACTCGCTGCTCCGTGATCTTCTCGGGCTGCTGGCTGAAGCTCTGGCTGGCCGACTGCGAACTCTGCTCCGAGTGGGCCAGCAACTGACCCTGGTAGCTCTGGCCCGTTGTAATGGAGCCCGTCTGCAGACGAGGAGCTCCGGACACTGAGAGAATAGTCGACTTCGGTTCCGGTTCCTTCATCCTCGGAGCTCTGATCGCGTTGAGCGGATTGGGTGGCGGTCCCGGGGCCGGCGAACGTGTCCTGTCCGGAAAGGGCGAGGCACACAGCTCGTTGTAGTTCCTGGCGTGCGTGGCCGAGCACTCCTCGAAGACCAGCTTCTCCTCCGTCTGGTAGAAGGGCACAATGGGCGCGGGCTTGTTCGTCAGCGAGGGCGTGTACGGCCGCGTGGGGGTCAGGGCCTGGTCCGGGCGCACCAGTTCGTCTAGCGGTTGGAAAGCCATCGTTACTGGACCCGAGCGATCCTCGACTATGATGGGCACCGACAGCTGGGGTCGGCGTTCCCTCTCCCGCTCTTTCTCCCGGGAGGGTGCCACCACAGGTGTCGGCACCTGGGCTATGGGTCTATGTACAGCGGGGGCGGAGGAGTCACTGGGTGCCGGGGCCTTCGGGGCATCCACGAAGGCCAGCGGCACGTTCTCGCGCAGCTCCTGCGGCTCCGGGGTGCGGATGGGACTCTGGGTGGGCAGCACCGTCCAGTTGCGCTGGTACTTGGGTATGCTGTCCGCCTTGTGGAGGCCGGACTGTACGGCTTTGCCCTGCTTGGTCAGGTGGCTCAGCGGGGAGGGCGGCGGGAACAGGACCTCCGAGTGCTCGAGCTCCTCGGCGGTCTCCTCGATCAGTTCGTGGGCATCGAAGTGTTGGTGGCTACTTTGTACAGCGATAGCGATAGCTGGAGGAGCAGGTGCAGGTGCAGGTGCAGGAGCAGGTGCGAAGGCAGGTGGGACTGTGGAAGAGGAGTTAGAGCAAGCAGTCGCTTTGGAGCTGTAGGAGGCGGAACTCTGAGATTGGGCATTGCCATTGGCATTGGCATTGGTATTGGCATGGGCCTGAAGGGTTTGGGTCTCAGCGAGAGTGGTTTGCGAGAGCAGGGAGTGTCGATGTTGCTGTTGGGTTACTTGGGTCTGCTGTTGGGTTACTTGGGACACTTGTTGCTGTTGCTGTTGGGTTCTTTGGGTTGCTGATTGGGACTGTTGCTGCTGTGTTTTCTGGGGCTGTTGCTGTTGAGGAGGTTGCTGCTGCTGGGTCAAGACATGTTGCTCTTGCTGCTGGGACTTCTGCGAGAGGTGCTGTATCTGTTGCTGCAACTCTTGGCTATGGGCACACTGTTGCAGTTGCAGCAACTTGGACTGCTGCAGTTGCTGTTGGCTCAGCAGGCTCTGCTGCTGATTGGAGAGTTCCCTCTGCAGCTGGGTCAACTGCTGGCCCTGGAGGCCATTTAGTTCCTCCTCCTTCTTGTGGAAGAAGTCCAATCTCTTCTGGTTGCGCTGCTGGGCCTTGCAGTACTTCTGGTACTCCAGATCGGTTTCCTCGTCTCCTCGCAGGGCCGAAGCAATCGATGCCCGCGGGGTGTCGGCCACACTGCCAGCATTCGATACCGGGTTCGAGGAGAGTGGCTCTTGGGATGGCTGGAATGCTTGCATGGCCGCGAAGGCGGAGGACTTCCGCGGCTGGTCCTTCCGCGTCTCGTAGTACTCCACGGACTGCGGCGGCTCCAGTCGAATGCCCAGCTCCTCCTCGTGATCCAGCACCTGAAATTCATGCTTCTTCAGTTCCTGCTGCTTCTGCTCCTCGTCCACGCGGTGCATGGCGTTCTCGGGGTTCAGGGGGGTGTAGCCACGGTCCGGGGCGGTGCACAGGGCATCGCACATGCTCAGGTGCTCTTTGGGGGTGGGCAGGTCAATCATGTGGATGGGCACATCCTTGTCGAAGTGACCTTCGAAGGGGCGATCGGGAGCGGTGGTCAGGGCACTCACAAATGGCGACTTGGGGCGGTAGTCCTCCCTCAAATACGGTTTAATTTCGATGGGTGGTGGCATATAGGGCTCGGTTTCCTCAGGCAATGGGACGCCCTGGTCGGCGGGAGGGGCAAACTTGAGTTCGAACTCGGGAGCGGTTACCATGGCTTGGGTGAGACGGGATCCCCGGGGAGGAGACTCCCGCAGAGGCTGAACTGCAGCTGGAGCTGGAGCGGGTGGAGCAGGAGCAGGAGGTGGAGGAGGAGGAGCTGGGACCTCTTGAGCTCTGGCCGCCTCCTCCTCGAAGTCATCTCCACAGGGCCGGGGAAAAGGACACTCCACCAGGTGGAAGGGAACCTCCGGGGCTGTGGTCAACACTCGAATCATGGGATTAATCCACTCCTTGGGCATGGGATTGGGAATCTTGGTGGGAGGTATCTGGCGCACTGGGGCAATCTCTATTTTGATCTCGGGCGTGGGTTGGAACTTTCGCTCGCTCTCCAGGATTTGACATCTCTGTTCGATCACCAGACCCTCACGATCTTCCTCGGGTATGGTCTCCAGTTCCCCGGACAGTTGAGGCAACTCCTTGATCTCCGGTTCATCGTTGAACACAACGCGACGCGTCGAAGGAGCAGGAGCAGGGGTTTGAGTGGGTGTGGTCACGGGACTGGGTGTCACCTCCCTTACCATGTCGACTAGTTTATAGGTGCTCAATGGCACCGCCAGCGAGTCCACACACTCCTGGGCACTTCTCCTTCCAGAGGCATAGTCCTGTATGGAATCCTGGGTGCTGCCATAGTCCACCTGGTAGTCGAACTCTGAGCCAGATTGCTCCTGCATCTGATAGGCCTGAATCTGGGCAGCGTACATGCGCTGATACTCCTCCGAAGTGGTTGTCGTGGTGGTCGAAGTGGACGTGTAGCTATCCGAACTCGATTCCTGCTCCGCCAATTGGTGGGTGGTAAGTTGGGGAGCCGAGTGGCTCTGCCATTGGGGACCAGAGCTCTCCACTTGAGGCTGCGGATCTAGTCGAGCAGTTGCTCCTCCAGGCGGTAATGGAGGCACTTGTTGCACCGGATTCGAAACCACCACATGTTGCGTCTCCGGCGGAGGGATGTAGAGTGGTGCTGCGGTGGGCGCCAAGTGGCTGTCATCCTGCGGCGGTGGCCAGGTGAAACTGGAGCCACGCTGCGATTGCCGACTGGCGGCCAGTGCCACCTCGATGTCCATCTCAAAGCAGTCCTCCTCCTCGTATTCCGGCTGCAGCTCCTCCACAGCCTCTCCAGCTTTTTGGGGGAACAGCCAGGGGTCAAGGGGTCAAGTGTGTTGTGTGATTTTGGGGCGCAGAGGGTTAGTTTGGTTTAGTTTTGCAGGGCGGACAGGGCAAATATAAGAGCAGAAAGAAACAAAAGACAAGCGCTTGTTAGTCCTTGGCACTGAGAAAGCGGCAGAGCGTTGGTTGGTGGATCAGTGGATCGGTTTTCAGTGGTTCAAAGGATCAGTGGATCAGTGGTGGTGCAACGGCGACAGCGGCAGCGAATTCGAAGGCGTATTTACAAATTACAGAAACAACTTTATTCTAAAAACTACTAGGCAAGAGGCGGCACAAAAACTAAAGCAACTAAATCCTGATTTGGTTCAGTTTGTGGTTTTAGTGTAGGTAATGGGCTGCGAGTGGTTCGAGTACTTTGAGTGGTGTAGGGATGGTCAAGTTCAAGGCACACAGAAGCAACTCAATCGAAGCGAAGCAATGAGTGGATCGGAAAAGTTTTACGCCCAACCCAAACCAAACCCATTGCAATTTGTTGACAGACAAACAAACAACGGTGTATCGCTGGCCGTATAGAGAGGGAAAATATTAAATGCGATTCAACAAAAGACGAGCGGCGAAAGGGGGGCAACGTTTCATGCCCCTCGCCGAGGCAAATAAATTTTTTATTTCTTATTTTCAGAGCCATTTTCATGGTAACAATAAACACACGCGTATACACGACGAGGGGAAATTCTCTTCCCTCCGCTAGGCACGCATATTTACTTCCATTTTTTATGGGCCCACGTCTGACTTCGACCCCCAACACCCAACCCCCAACAAAAAACAGAAAAACCCCAACCCAACGAGCAAAAATGGCGGCGTCGACAGGTAGTCATTGGATTTTATTATGCATAATTCGGTATTGGCTGTAATTTCGCAGAAATTGAAAATGGCAGAAACACACGGAGGACAAAGGACCGACTGTTTCTGTGGCAGATACTGCAAACGGAAAACAAACAAGCCAACGCAATGAAACGAAATTATTGCCGCAAATATTTTGTCATATGAAAAATGTTGGCAGCAGCAAAAACAGAAAGTTTTCGACCATAATAAGAGGCCGCCAGGGCATTCGGCAAAAGTTCTTCTTTATGTTTATTATTATTTCGGTCCCCATTTCTCCCCCATTGTGCTTAGACAAAAGGCATGCAAAGTTGTGCAAAGAAAGAAATTCTTAGAATAGCCGGGCACACAGTTCGATTAGTACTTATGTATATAGACAGAACAGATGTATTTGAATATCCGAGAGCGGAGAGACTTTTCAGAGCGCTTGAAGCGGTATGCGGTTAGGCATGAAGCATTTATACTATGATTTCTTATAAAGATCTGTGGATGTGGTTCTTTGAAGTATATAGATTTGCAGTTTATTGCTTAAAACTCATAAGTATTCCATTCAATTTTGATAGTATGCTTAGGTTTTTTGTAGAACATATATTTGTTTTCCAGAATATCGCCCACTTTGCACGCCTTTTTATTAGCGGGTTTGGGATTTTCTAATACGTGTAGGGGTAACCGTATCCTAAAAGAAGCAGAAACCAAAACAAAAGTTATTCGTGGGATTATGCTTAATGAGCCTAGGACAATAGTTCCGCCCGATACCCAAAAATAGAAGGCAAAGTGCCCTCGATAAATCCTCGCTCTGACGAATGCCAGAGTTTCCTGTGATATATGGCCCCTTGGCACGCTTCAATATTCGGCCACTCCATGCCAAGAAAACTGCGGAAAAGTGGGGAAAAACTGAGGCGGATGCTTGTTCGTATAATAATGGCTGGTAATTTATCTGCTTTCGTTTACATTTCCCGCTCCGTGTGGGAAAAGCTGAGCTGCGTGTCGGCATTTGTGCAAGGCAAACATTTGTTTGCCAGCATTTCTCGTTTTCCCCCACCCCCTCAGCAAATTGGAACTGGATTTGCTCATATGCCGCCACTCGTTTTTTTTTCTGTTGTTGGTTTTGCCAGGGGGCAAAGTTTCGGGGTCGTAACCCGAAACCGAAACCCCAAATGATTGCTGCGGTTGTGCGTGATTTTCGCTTTGATTAGGAGATTGATTTCTGGCGGAATGAAGATTTATGCCATCGAGGAGCTTCTCCTTTCGCGTCCCTTGCTAATTGCATTTTTAATTGCTTAACGAATGTGGGCGCTGGCGAAAATTGCCCCATAAATTGGGAGTGCAATTGTTGGTGCCGCAATATTTGTTGTTAATTCATTTACGTTATGACAGCCACCATCGCAGCGCGGTAATTGATAAACAAACAAACAAACAAACAGACAAACACGGAGGCGCAGAGATATATGTGCAGATGGCGAAGAAAAAACACCAGAAATTTCTGTGAGAGACCCCAAAGTGTTCTTGTTAAAGCCGTTAAGCACAGTGAGCGAGAAACACAAACGTCAATTAAAATAAAATGAATAAATATTTCGATTTGGATACTTTGGAATATTTAACAAAATATTTCCTTTAAGCTTTCACTTTTTTAAGATGTATTATTCTAAAAGTTGTGTATATTATTATTGAATTTAAACTTTCTTTCTTTTTTTTTGGTTTTCGCTTTTCCTTTTCTTATTTTATTTATTTGGGTTTTAAATAGTTATAATTTAGTAAGGGACTTGCAATCCGAAATTGTTCCCTGAATTCACCTAACCTTTGTCTATAATTTAACTTTTCGTGTACACTTTCTTCTGCAGCCCACCGTCTGCGGCCTTCTTCATTTTCCCCGATGGGATATTTGCGCTGCATTTAAAGCCCTATTCTGGCAAAAAGGGAGTCGTCGAGGAGGAGGAGGTGACCACAATGGCAACAGAAACGCAGGCTGAGGCAGGAATTGCAGCGGCAAGCGAATACATTTTATATCATTTATTTCTGGGAAACATGAATGGGTCTTGTTTCGTTGCAATGGCAACGCGTTACGTATACGCAGCGTATCGGTTTGGTTTGCTTTCATTCTGGTTTGGTTTTTCGGATCGAATCGGTTTGGTTTGCGTTTGGTTGTATTCCACACCCCTTTGTCCTCGATTTTTCCCCACCATTTTCCCAGCGATTTCGCGTTTGCATTCGCCTTTCAGCACTTTCGACTGGCACACGGAAGTGGAAGATGGCAATCGCATTGGCATTGAAACCACCGCCCCTGCATTTCCCCCACCCGCGGTGGCATCGGCCATTGTCAGTTTTAATTTCCCGTCTGGGCCCATAATAATGATAAACACATTTTAAAATGTTTCCACCTACTGATTGAGTTTGTCAACAAAATGCTTCCATTATTATCACATTCGCGATGATGGGGGCACTGCTAATGCAATTCATTTGTGTGCTTCGACCTGAATGGGTTTATATGGCTGCGATGGGCATGGATATGTGATATATGTATAGCAGAACTCTTTAAAGCAGCAGCTTTTTCGGATGATATCGGACTCAACAAGTGAATTAAACTACTGAATTACTGCAACTTTGGCTGCGAGGCAATGGGAATCTTTGTTGCATTTTGGCTGCATTTTACCTCGATAGACATTGTTATTGTTGTAGCTGCTATAGTTGTTGTTGTTGGTGGTGGAGGAGATGATGTAGGGGGACTGACTCGGGGTGCTATAATTAGATCCCATGGGGTAAGAGTTCCTATACTGCTGCTTCTGCTGATTGTTGTACTGCTGATGCTGCTGCTGCTGTTGGTACCTTACATTACGACCTACATATGTACACAGCACAGAAAGATTGGTATATATACACACAGGCAGCAGACAATATATATATATATATAGAGTGTAGTGTAACTTAAACTATGCTAAATGTTTTATGCAACCACATTTGCCAAATAGTTTTCATTTAAGTTGCTCACGTGAACGGGGTATAACGAGCAGAAAATGGTTTTAGTAAATTTTGCCAGAAGCATTTCAATAATTTCGATTTTTTTTAGGGACTGTTGTTGTTGGTTAGTTGTTTCGGTGGTTTACGGCTTTGCGGTTAGGTCATGTGCAATTTATTTCGATATATATATAAAACTCATTGTCTTTACAAAACAGAAATCCGGTTAATACTATACAACGATCGCTCTTTCTACATCGTCTATCGCTTATTTTTTTGTTTCTGGCTAACAACAAAGGAACTAAACTGCGGGCTAAATAGGGTATATATGGGCATACAAATATGGTACAAAATCTCAATTGGCTTAAGCGACTAGACCCATTCACCCTCTGACAGACAGCCGTCGTCATCATCAGCCTTACCTTGTTGGCCGACATTGCTGCGGGGCAAAGTGGCGTACGCGTTGTTGTTGTTGAAGTTGTTGTTGCCGCCGGGAGCGGGACGCGGAGACTGCTGCTGCTGCTGCGGCGGATACGAGGCCACCGGCGACTTGGGAGCGGCGGCACCGAAGGGACGGGCATAGCCCTGGTTCACCTTTTGGATGGCAAGAGATAGAATTGTTTATTAGCATGGTTTATCTCATATATTCTATAGGTTCAATTCGAAGATAACACTTTACAACACTTCACAACAAGTCAGTTAGTTTGGGGCTGATCGCAGCGAGCTGAGCGGAGCAAAACGCAGGTACTTACAATTTTTTTGGTTTCTTGATGGCCATTGATTCAGGCAAAGGTCAGTGAGGAACAGGGCTTTACATTACATTAACTATGTATTAACTATGTAGTACTAAAAATGTAAGCAAGTATTCTTTTAATTACACCATTCAAAGGAAGAGATTTTTAAACTCAGTGAATATCAACTTAAGGCAATTTATTTACTATTGAGAAAATAATAATATTGCTTGCAAACTAATTAAGCTAATTAGCTGAGCTTCCTTTCCTACATAGCTTTTGTTTAAAGCCTAACAACTATGTATTATCAGTCTATATTTTTCGGTATTTTTTTAGAGAGGTTTCCAGAATGAAATCAATCTCGTACATGGTTTTGCCAAAGGTGGCCAATTAAGAGGTGATAAAGCGAGTCTCCAATGTCCCCTTAAGCCGACTTATTTCCCTGAATAAAGTCAACTTTGCCCTGTTGCTCACTGCCCTCGACGACCTTGGTCTAATTGGGGGGCGGAGTGGGTTGGATTACCTTGTAGCTGGTGCCCGTCCCCTTTCCGGGGGCCTGCACGCTGCGGATGACGTTGCCGGTGAGCGTGACGTACTCGAAGGGCTGATCGCCCCCACCGGCGGTGGGTTGTTGTTGTTGTTGTTGAGGGGGTGGGGCTACAGCACCCGAGTTGGTGTTAATCTGGCCATAAATCGAAGACGGCTCATCCGCCACGTAGGCCGACATATTGTCTGATGTTGCTGTTGCAGCTGGGCTATCTGTTGCAGTTGCCACTATGGGTGTAGCTGCTTGTAATGCTGTTGCTTGGGGGCTTGCAACCTGATGTGGGTTAAATTTCAATTGATTAGCAAGGGTCGCCGTTAGGGCTGCCACAAGCGGCTGTTGTTGTTGTTGGTGTTGGGGTTGTTGGTGTTGCAGGTGTGGCAGGTGTTGCTGTGGTGGTGTTGTTGTTGCCCCTGTAAATGGCTTGGCCGTGTTGTTGTTGTGTCTCTGTGTCGTGTTGCTGGTGTGTTGCTGTTGCTGCTGCAGCTTGTTGGAGTACTCTTTCAGCAGCTGGTTGTACGCATTCGGGCTGCTCTTGTTCTGCGTATTCATGTCGTTCTCGTTCTGCGCCTGCAGCCTGTAATTCGTCACGACCTGAGCCTGCGGAGGAGGCGGCGGCGGCGGAGAGGGCGGGGTCGCCATGGTGTAATTATCAGCCTGACCAGCGGGGGATGCGACAACAGCAGCCACCTCCAGCGACGTGGAGGAGGCGGATGTCTGCCGCGAGTGCTGGGGCGAACCGAAGCGGTCCAGCGACAGCGTGGAGGAGTAGCTCTGCTGGCTCTGGCCCACGCCACTGCCACTGCCACTCCCACTGCCGCTGCCGCCAACTCCGGAGGAGGAGGAGCCACTGGAAATGGATGACAGGCTGCTGTGGGTGCGCGTGTGTTGCTGTTGCTGCTGGGTGGAGGGCAGGTGTTGCTCCGGGTTGAGTTGCTGCTGTTGCTGCTGCTCCGCCTCGTACTGCAGCAGCTGGGTGGGCGAGGGGGGCGGTGGCAAAGGCAACTCCTGGCTGCTCTCAGACTCAGGCTAAATGGGTTAATGCGGGCAGGCAGGCATGCAGGCAGGCGGGGGTTAACAAAAGGCAGTTAATTAAAATGCACGCGCTATGAGAAGTGGCACACAACCTACGGCTGATTAACTAAAACCTCATTTGTGCTAGTTTGTGTGTGTATAGTGTGTAGTGTAGTCTAAAAATGGCTAATAGGTCAAGGTCAATGAGCGGGGCTAAGTAAAAAGCCCCACTCCCAAAGGGTAAGACTGAAAAAGAATCCATATTCCTTGGCTAATCCGTTCGGGTGATTATGCAACCTTTGCTAATGATTTGCGAGAAGAGTTTTCCTTGGCCTAAATCACTGAAATACAGTCGTTTCACTTGATTCGTTGAATCGTTGGTCGTTGGAGCACAGTTCTTAATCCGGACAATTCTGGACAGTTTTTGTGGGTCAGGCGATCGGTCGCTTCTCTGGTGTCCGCTCACTGCGGACACAGTAACGGACACTTCGCGGACACGGACACGGCTGTTCGATGTTGCACGAGATGCGCACTGGGCTCAGGGCGCAAAGAAACTGCGGCCACGGCGGCCAAAAAGCTGACAAACCGCTGCAGCTGTGTGTTTTTTATAGAAAGCCAAAAAAATAAAAATAAGCCAAAAAAATACGAACATACGGCGCGGAATGAGTAAAAAGCAGCGCTTGGCATATATATTTAGCTTCTAGCAGCCATTGCACATTTTCGCGATATGCGCTGGCCGCCGCAGAAACAGAATCAGAGAAATAGTAAAGTAGACTATTTATACCACCATGCAATCAATCTGGTGGTGTCGATCCGATTGATTCTACCGTTTCGTGCCAAGGGGGAAGTCTTCAGTCTTCAATCCCTCAATGAAAACCCCCTTGATCTGCTTACCCAATCAGCCGTAGGTCGAACCAACAAACATAAACAATAAGTTTAACTTTAACTCCATGCAAGGCAAACAGAGGACTCACGCAAAACACAGAATGCATAAAATGCATAAAATAGAAACACAGGCAAAAACACATAAACAAGGGGCACACAGAGAAAAATTCATAAAAACTATGTGAAATCAATTTACAGAAATAAATAGAAAAAAAATTGTATATTACACGGCTCGTTGAAAATAATGTGCTTTTAATATTTTTAAATATCCTTAAGAAGACTTTTCTACATAAACTTTTCCTCTGTGCTGGCAAATGCATAAAACTTTTCCATTTCATTTCGATCGCTTTGTGGCCAAGAAAAGTGAGGAACAGACAGCCAAAGAAAACAGTAAACAAGAAGCGTTTCTTGATAAAATTGCCCGAGATGTTTGAACTTCTTTTGCTGGCACGAAAACTTTTTGCATTATATTGCATTTTTCTCTGCCGTCCGCCTTGTTCTGCAGATGATTTTTAACATTTTAGCATATGTCGGATGCTGGCGCTTCCGGCGAAATGTGCTGAGTTTAAGCAAACATTTTTGCTGCCAATATGATAAAATTGAATGTTGCAAAAGCTGATTCAGGTGGAAAAGGGTACGGTGCGAAAGGGTCTTTCTTTGAAGCGTGTTTCTGTGTCTATATCTATACATCTGTGTTTCGTTGAGTGTCTGACATTGTTTTAGCCACGGCAGGGAACAGTTAACACTTAACAGGTGGGGTTTTCCACCTACTACACATGTCTTTACTTACCGGTGCCGGGGCGGAGTTTCCATTGGAGTAGCCGTTCGAGTTAGAGCCACCGTATCCGTGCGAGTTCAAGGCTGTCGAGATGGTGGAGGCACTCAACTTGGTGTTGCTACGAATAAAAATAACAGAAAAGATAGCTTAGACAATCTGATTTGCCAGCGGTAATTGCCTGTCACCAGCCATTTCGCCTAATTGCCCCCCAGTGCAAGACCTTTAATTTGGTTTTGGCCAACGACACATCGTTTTAAATTAAGCAAACATCACGCAGAAACCCCAAACAAATTCCAAATGCCAAATGCAAATTGCAACTGTCACTGGTCGTATACATTTTTGACACACCAGCAATATCGCACACCCTTGGGCGCTTACAACCCGATATATGTATGTATCCCCAATCGATTGCATTGGGAAAGTGCATTCCCAGTTCGATTGCCATCGTTTTAGTTGGCAGCCAAAGTATGTGGCACACACATATGTTGCCAATTCATTTATTAAAAATTTGCGGCACAGTCGATGACACGTCAGCAGAGCAATCAGTGTCGCCTCTTTCATTTCCATTTGGTTGCAGGGCGGGCAACCAAAACAAAACAAGGCAATTGGTGTGTTTGGAAGGGGTAAACCGAAGAGCTATGTACCCTAAGTTCTTGCAGACTGCACGATGAAATTAGTAAATTTTTTAAATTTATATTAAAATTGTGAATAAATTGACCATCTGTACGTGATCATTAAGGATTTTTTTGGTGCTCAAAGACATCACTATCCCAATAATATATGGAATTTAAGCAAAGTTAAGGAGCTTAATAGTAGTTTCTTTCATCACCACCTATTTTTAGATATTTTTTAAGCTAATACAACATTTTAAAGAGTATTCTCTCTCGAATGCATGTAAAAACAGAGTTGAGCTTGGGCAATTTTTCGTCTCTCGTCATGTCAGGCGTATTTTGGCATACAGCAAGGGCGCTGAATTTATTTATATTCCATCTCGTACCCCTTTTTTTCCCGCCACTGACCAATTGGCCGTGTAAAGGGAAATGCCAGTAAAAAAAAATCAGAGAAAATATTGGGGATAACTTCGATCACTTACGGCTTGATGGGGACGGGAACGTAACCCTCGGTGCCGGAGGGAGGATTATTGATGGCGGCCTGCTTGGCGTGGATGTCGCAGTAGAGCTTGTTGTTGAAGTTGTAGTAGCCCTGGTTCTTCAGCGAAGTGCCGCAGGTCGCACACTTGAAGCACTCCACGTGTAGATTCTTGTCCTTGATGCGCACGAAGACGCCACTGCAAAATGGGTGAGGTAAAAGTGGGTTTATTAGCGGGATTGTAATGAGGAAGCGAAAGTTCGAGCAGCTCTTCGAGGGTCTGGGATTGCCTTAAAATAATAATATGTAATGTTTGCATTTAATTCGGTACTCTTTAATTTAAACAAAAAAATAGTTTCTCTCTGAGATTGCAGCAGGAGATTACAAATGTATATTATTTTAAAAATATTTTTCATTACAAAAAGTTACTTTAATATATATATTCAAAAGCATATTGGTAGCATAAAAGCTATGAGTCTCCAAACTAAAAGTTTACAAAAAAAAATTACTGAAAAATCTCCTAATTATGTTTTAAAAAAATTGTTCATTACAAAGAGTTTGCTTAATAAAACTACCAAAGGTATTATGGTATTAAAAAGCAGTTGAGCCTCAGAAACTTATAAAAAATTATACTTGATTTAATGAAGAGTCAAATAAAATGTTTATCATCCGTTGATAACACCTTTTTAACTGCTAGATATAAGCTGGTGTTTTTATTAAATTTTTTCCCCAGACTAAATCCATTGAAGAGCTCCTCGAACGCTTTGCAGACAAAATTTAAGTCGATGATTGATCGAACAGCACTTGATTGCTGATTACTACTGATAGTTCGCTGTGCATTTGTGTGTGGACATTAAAAACAGTGGCCAGAGCTCAGGTGTTGTGGAGTACAGTGCGTGAGGGGCAAACAATTGACTTCGCCGCCATGGGTCCATAGCTCCGTGGAATAAAATCGAATGCGAATTAAAATGCAGACACACGGGGAGGGGCATGAATTATCATTGAACGGCGACCAGGAACAACAACAACGGGGGTCCTTACACAATGCCCACGCCGCACAGCTGGCAGGCCGGATGTCCGCTGGCGGTCAATGGACGTGGTCGTCCATCCTGGTCACTGGCCAGAGCGGCCGCCGCCGCCTCCATTTCGGCCTTGTACTCCGGTCCCTGGAGGCTGGGGCAGATGGGCAGCACAATTATGCGCGGATCGGCCTGCTCCTGATCCTGTCTGCTGGGCTGCTCCTGCTTTGGCACCGGCAAACTGGGCCTGTGCGGCGCAGCCGGCGCCAAAGTGTTCGACTGCAGTTGCACCCCAATCCGCTCATCCTGCTGATGTTGATGATGCAGTGGAGTGCGCCGCTCATTGCCGCCAATTGCGTGGCTCTGTGTCCAGTAAAAGTTGGCGGGACTGTGTGGTTCTGCATAATCATCATCAGTTATTTGGAAAATGTACATGTACACAACCTGCCTATAGTCTGCTCCTGGAAACTGAACCCCTTAAGTAACCCCACTAATTGCTGGGAATAAGTTAATAATGGGGAAGCATCGCTGTTCTAGCTGTTAGTCAATGTGCACACACAAATGCTTATTTACACACATGAGCTGGGGTGTTTACTGGACCTGATAAGGTGATACCGGTTAAAGCGTATATTTGTAACTCAAAAGAATAATAGGAAAAGAAACTCTTGCTTAGATATTCCAATGAGTGTCTTTTAAAACTTTAAAATAAACATGTCTAAATCCATATCAGGTCAGCTTACAGAAAACAAATCAAACAATAATAATTATATCATTAATAATGTTCATAATGATATTTAGATTTGCGTTTGTTTATAAAATATTTTTATAACAATCAAGTTTTGTGAGTAAAAAGACAGGACAAATAAAAAACAGATTGAAATCACTATAATTAATAGTTCCAACACTTAACAGTGACAAATTGTTGAACAATTAAGCTTCTGAGATACCAATACAAAGTAGATATCACCCTATCAGTGCCATTCAATACCCAGATTCTTTTTGTAAAGCTAAGTGAGATCCATTTGGGCGTCACTTACGTAATGAGGCGCTCGCATTCGGTGCAAATGTTCTGGCCAGTTGGGAGTCCGCCGGTGCTCGGGGGCTTGGGGGAGTTCACGGGGGCGCTGACATGGCGAGTGGTGCTCGATAGCTGTTGTTGTTGTTGTTGCTGATGGTGTTGCTGGTGATAGTGTTGCTGTTGATGTTGTTGTTGGTTGTATTGCTGTTGTTGGGGCTGTTGCTGTTGCTGTGGTGCATCATGCTCGTAGTGGCTGTTGCCGAATGCTGTTTATATGTTTTGTAGTGGGCGATGTTGTGATTGTTGTAGCAGGTTGTTGATTTTGGTGTAGTGTATGGAAAACAGTTTAAATACAAACATGAGTTAGACAGAAAGATAGACAGAAAGTGGATACTCAATGGGTGTGTTTCATTCAAGTTTTCCTTAGCAGTCAATGAGTCGACAGACATGAGCTGGCAATTCAAATTAAGCTCTAACACTCCTATGAAGTAGATGGTCTATTAAAAGTAAGACCCTAAATAAAGATAACTCAAAGGAAATGATAGCCCATTCTATCGAAAAACTATTAAGCTGTATGTCTATATAAAACTCTTTGCTTTACTCAAAAAATAATACTTTAATATCTACGACTTATTAGGTCCGTGCAGGTGACTTTGAAATTGTTGATTAATATATTTATAGACATGACTGTGTGTGGGCACTAGAAATGTGTCTTCAAATAGAGAAAACGAAAGTCCATCTCCTTCTGCTGGTCTGATGGGGTTAAACGACAAGAGAACAAAACAATTTAGTAACATTTGGATTTCACGCATTTCAAGGTCCCTGCTGGGCGTTTTAAAAAAAGAATTGGCTAGCATCTGGCAGACTGCCCGCCCACCTCTAAACCGCCCCCCTTTTAATCGCCTAGTTCCTCGCTGACGAACGGATTGGCACCGTCGTTCAGGAGGAGCAGCAGGCGGGCCAGTTCGTAGTTGGCTTCTTTACCTGGAGTGGACTGGCCGGTCTCCTCCTCGCGCAGGAACTTCAGAACCTCGGAGCGATCGCCCTGGTATTCCTTCTCGTTCTTCTTGAAGTTGACGCTAGAAATAGGAGAACGTATTAATCAATATAAGTCATTTTACAATTCATGTGGAACTCTAACATTACACAGATAAAGAACCCTTGATTTTTTAAACCCACAATCAAAAAAGGCTTACGACTTTTCCGTAGAAAACGAAGCAAGTAGAGAGCGTGCTAACGGTTGGACAGTGTAGTCTCGAAATGTCGGAGTAAATGAAACCAAGAGCTCTTGTAGCATACTTTCAAGCGTGCACGCAGCGCAGCCCAAAAGTATGCTCAACTAAGTGAGTGCGTGGCGGCAACAAGATTGTTACGCATCCGCTGCGTTGGCCAAAAAATCCCCCAAAGAAATTAAGCGCTAAAGGCGCGCTTTATGGTCCCACGCGTGCGTTTTGGCCCGCAGAAGTCGGCAACTGGCACAAGCTGAAGCACTTGGCCTGAGTTCTGCTGCCCTGGCTATCATTTGCCAAATTGCACTCACCGTTTCGACCGTTTTCTGCCTTCGCTTCCGTTTTTTTTTTGTTTGCCCAGAGCAAAGCAGAGCAGAACAAGAACATTTTTAAGTAAAACTTTTTCTGATATTTCGCACTGTCACGGCTGCGGCCCAGACAGTTGTTTGTTGCCTTTTCCCCCGGTTTTACCCCCGACTTTTTCCCCCGGAAATAACTTACCCGAGCACACCGCCAGCCAAAACCTCCGCCTGGGCCGAGAGTGTTTCCGCAATAGATTCATCGCTGTAAATGCCAACCGGGGTGTTGTATTGTTTATTGACAATGCTCTTCACGCCTCCATCGCCGCCGTTGGACTGAAAAATATTTGCGAGAAATAGGAAGTACATGAGAAGTTGTGCCAGACCGAGTAAGTGTAAAATGAGATAAGTTTCCAAATGAAAAAGGAGGAAAATCAAAATACCCCACGCACTTATTGCGATTGGGAATTATTGTTCTCCATTCCTTCGCCCTCCTCTGCGCTTCTCACAAAGTTTACCTAAGCGAAACGGACTAAAAGCCTCGACTAAAACATACTTATTATAATACAAAATTAAGTTACGATTCCTTTGGAAATTGCGTTCTAAATTATATTTCAACGCGAGAGGTGCTTACAAATTTCTAAATTCAATTTCAGCTATGCTCTCCATTTTCCTAAGCCCTTCTCGCAATTATTGCTCACCGAAACAGAGTCATGCCTTTATTATTAAATATAAATAATTATTGGTTGATTAAACTTTCCTTTATTTCAATAATCAATAGCATCTTCTCTCGAATATTAAGCCTTTCATAATATTGCCTCGTCTAAAACATACATATTCTAATTCCAAATTGAGTTTTGTATCCGGTTCCTTTGCAAATTGCATACTAAATCATATTCCAACGCCAGAGGTGTTTACCAATATCTAGGTCCAATTTCAACTATGCCATTCGCAAGCCTTAAATCACATTAAGCTGCTCTGAAACTTGGCACATAAAATGATCCCAAATCAATTTCATGTCCGTTGTCATTGGCTGGAGCTATTATTATACAAATTCATAACAATAAAAGATACGTAAATGTATGCATATCAAACACACACACTCGAGAGAGACATTACTATGCATGGCATAACACGGATGGGTGGGTGATTGTGTGTGTGACTGCGTGTGAGGGACCTTTGCACATTAATTCTTGCCAGGCAAATAATCCTAGCACTCATATTCATTACTCATTCTGACACTTTTCAAAACTACGCACAAACAAACTGAGCGTCAGACAGACAGACATCGTATAAATGCAAATGTTGTCAACTCATACAGAGGGTTTGGGTTTGGGTTTGGGTTCGGAGGTTGGTGTTTGGAGTTAGGGGTTAGGGTGTCGTAGTCCAACAACCGAAAATGAAATGAATGAATATGAAAAGCCACAGACAGACAACAAAATAAACGCAAAGTGTGGGCTGGGCATTCTAGAACTAACTATCAACATCATTGGTCATCATCAGGACGTCAGCATCAGCTGGGCCACTAAAACTTTCCGCATTCCCAACTTTGGGCTGCCAGTTTATGAATTTTATAAATGATGTGGTGGGGCAGGGATGGGAAATACTCCGGGTGATTGCAAATTAGTACACTTACGAAGGGACGGGCCGCGTTGTTGTAACCACAGCCGATGTGCTGGCTGTCCTGTTGTTTGTGAGCCAGAGAGGTCTTCGTCACCGTCTGCAGATACGGCGAGTTTGGCTGCGGCACATTGCCCGTGGGCGTCACATGGGGCCTCCAGGTGGAGCCGCCACTACGGGATTGGAGTAAAGGATATAAGTTCATATTAAACACCCTTTGGTTTCACAAATAGTCAAGTCTACTCACCGCTGCACTGTGATGACAAAGTTGTTGCCGGAGCGCACCACAATGTCCTGGGCGTCCTTGTGCCGTAGATTGAAGACATCCACGTCGTTGATCTTGACCACCGCATCGCCGGGCTGGAGGCCAGCCTGCTCGGACAAGCTGCCGGCGTTCACCTGCAAAAAATCGAGGAAAAAAAGCCCAGTAAGTATTAATTCACTGAAGTCAACTTTGATTCGTGCGGGCTTTAAATGTATTATGCGGCGACTGCAAAAATTATGAGCGGCAATGCGGAGCCAAAACCCGCGGTGGCGCTGACTTTAGCTGAATATATGTATATTCCACCATTCCGACCATCAGAACATGCAGATTCATTTACATATATATATAGTACATATATATCTGTGTTTTTGGCCAGCAACTATTGGCCAAAGTTTAGTTTTATAGGCGTTGCTTTGTGTGCGTTTTGCATGTTTGTTTTCATCATTTATTTATTTCCGAATATATGTGCGTCCGCGGGGAAATCGTGCGGGAAAATGCCATAAATTTGCACGATTAAAATCGTAAAAGTTACGCCGGAGATTTTTCTGTATGGCCAGCGGCTGTGTGGGAGGCACTGACGCATACAGCCGGCAGAGAATTTTCAAATTTCAAACTTGAAATTGAAATGGAAGGCAGTGACACTCAAGCACGTAGTTTTCGACATAACTATTAATTAGAAAGTTTTATTTGGAGAAAACAATGTTTGCAAGTGGCTGTTAATGTTTTTCAAGCTATTCGAAAAGTGTTTTATTAACTTATGCACTTAACAATTGAAATAAATCTAAAGGAAAATTCCAACCCACAATAATTATTTTGGATCAAGCTATTAAAGGATTAAATATACCATTTTTTAATTATACATGTATATATATACAAGTGCAGCCCTGTTAAGCTTTTCAGCTCCATTAAAACTCAAACTTCTTTCGGCAAATTTAAAGCCGCTTAGAATGGAAGTCACTTGGCCTGTCAATGTCGCTTCATCAGCCAAACTAACCAACTAAGCACACACTCAATGCCTGGCACACATAGATACACTCATCAGGCTAAAGTCCACAACCACAAAATACAGCCACAGAGGAACGAGGAACGAGGAGGGTAGGGGTAGCCAGGGGATGTGCTCCTGTTGCTCCACTCGGGGTCTAGGCCAAATGCTGGGAGGGATCGAAATGAGGTCCGAACGGGGGCTCAGGTGTGCCCCAAAATTATACGCGCCATGCACGTATCCACTTTGGCAAATTGTCTGTTTATCAGACAACTGGCAGGCCCAGTCAGTCAGTTGCCGTCGCCCCCGAAAACCCCCTTTCGACTGTGGTCGGTTTATATTTGCACAAAACGGGGCGACGCTCGTGCAAAAACAAACACAAACAGAGACACTCGCACACAGATACACCGCCGCTCGTTGTGTGCGAGCATAAATATTTCATTGGCGCACTCACCAAGCGAGACACCTAAATTTTGTAATATTTACAAAGTTGCCAAAAAAACGTCGAAGCCCCCCGAAAAACGAATCGAATTGAATCGAGGCGCAGCGAATCGGATCAGCCGAGCAGAGCCGACAGGTTAACCGAGCCACAAAAATGTACACTGAGGAAAATAATTGAAAATATATTTAGATATCTTTAACTACAATCTAATCTTTGTACTTTATCAACACTTTAAACTATGACTATTTAAATTCAAAAGATATATAGAGTACCAAAAGCAAAATTATTTAGAGATATATTTTTTCTCAAATCCAATCTTAATACTTAAATCCGTGGCAATTTGATTTAAGGGGTTAATTTCTTAAAAAAAAAATAAATTAAGAATTTTAATAGGTCATTTTTGGATGTAATTAATACTCGGAAAACTTTTTAATTAAAAAAATATATTTTTTTTATTTTTAAAGTTATTTATCATAGTGAGGTAAACTTTTTTTACAATGCACACCCAGTGGCAGAGCCAAAACCAAAGCCAAATCCAAGTCCATATCCGACGTGTGCCGTTGACATGTTCATTTTCTTGCTGTCGGCTGTGGGTAAAATTGAAATTGCTTGGCCAAGGTGTTTCGCAGACAGCAACAAATAAGTCCTGGCTCCTCGTCCTGACTACTCCTCCCTTCCCTTTAGCCCTCATCAGTCAGGCAGTCAGCCAGTCAGTCAGCCAGCCAGCCAGTCAGGCAGTCAGGCAACCGAAATCAAAGCGAGCGCGGCCTGAAAAGTATTTTTTTTTTGGCACAACTTCGTGGGTCTGGAATATTGACATTTGGACAGTTTTATGAGTACCTGCGATCCGTGTTTGTATCCCTCTCCCCACATCGAATATCTATCTGTTCACTCGCTCGACATTTGTCAGCTTTATAGCATTTGCGGCTGGCCGACAATTGACAGAGCATTTGTTTTTGCCCCTTCTCGAATGACTTATGAGCGGGCCAGATGTACGAGTAGATGGACAAGGCTGAAATGGCATTACCAGGAGCTTTGGCCCCGCCCTCAGTCACATTATTAGTTTTGCTGCCCGTTTTCAGATCCCACAGGTCGAGCTTGTTGGCCATAGGGTGCAGTATGTTATGTCCAACCCCTGATACCATGTTCCTTATGAAGCATATCAGTCGAAAGAGAACATTTGTCACAAATAGGGTTTATTACCGGTTTTTTAACCAAGTTTCCAGTGGTACAAAAGGGATTAATTTAAAACACGTTTTCACATTTCGGTTACGTATTTCTTTTAGTTACCCCTTCTGATACCCATTTGAAGGCTCAACTAACAAAAAAATTATGAGTTTATACATTTTTTAAAAGCCAAGTAGTGCCATTTCGGATATTTTTTTTACTTCTTCTAATCCTTCAACCGCGCTTCTCATAAATTTGTGTACCCATTAAAGCTTTTCTCTGCGCTTCTCATAAAGTCAAAAGGCTTTACCACAACCACCGTATAATACAATGTTTTTAGGTACCTCCATAGCTCATAGCCTTACACTCCGCTCCTTTTTGCCCCTGAGGGAGCTGGACATTAATGCGGAGTCCTGTAACATTACATGTTTGTGGGCGCTGACACAGGCCAGAACAACTAAATGAGGAGCGAAGCTGGAGCAAGCAAATGATGATTTATATGGCGACTGGACGGAACTTGGGTAGGAGAAGCATGCCTGGCTGAGAGTTGTAAATGTTGTAAAAATAATTTCATTTGCATTATCATCAGCATTTCCCTGGCATGTATTTAGCATTTTAGTCCGCATCTGCATATGTATGCTCTCTGCTTCTCTGCTGGTCGCCGGGGCCACTTGAGAGGAGCTCTTGAAATTATATGCGTTATGACAAATACTCCCAGATATGGCCAAGTGGCTTTCGTGGTGATGTTGGTTTGGCGCTGGCAGCTTGACAAACATTTTCACAAAAGTATGAAGAATTTCGTCTCGTTTCGTTTCGTTGCTGAGTTGTTGAAGTGTTTGATTTGCCAGAGTCAAGGGAAAAATGGTTTCGGCCATCCAGAATCGGAAAATCCATAAAGCAAATGAAATTCTGTGGAGCGAACCGAAGCCAAAGCCAAAGGCCCGTAATCAAGTCAACTAAGCGCTGCTCAAATCCATTCAAGTGCATTAAAATTGAATTTCGTTCAGAACACACACACATCGAGATCCCAGAGACAAAATAACAACAATAGAACAAAAACCGAACCCAAATGCATTCTCCACGGAGAAATGGGGAAATCAGTAAGGAAGGGGATGCGGATGCGCTCACACTTTGTATGCAAAATATTTATGTTGATAAATCAAGTTTGCTTTTGTGGATTAGGTGTATCTCAAATAAATTGAATTTGTGGCGTAAATTAAGCCACAGTACAACCTAGAGCCAGGACACACACTCGCAGGACTCTGGAGGAGCGGAGGCCTAGCAGACTGCCAACTTTTGCCAAGTTGTCGGCCAAGTTATGAGCTTGTTTAATTGAAAATAAATCTGCTTAAAGCCCCTGCTGAGGCGAGCAATATGACAGCCACACACTCTTAATTTTGCCCCCCCCGTCTATCTATCTTCGGCTCTCTGGGCCGTAAAAGGCGAAAAAAAAGAGAAATTGCGGAAAAGTCGTAAGTAGAGCGAACATGAACAAAGCAGATAAAATACAAAATACTGCGGAAATGCAGCGCAAATACAATGAATCTCAATGTGTATGAATATGCATGGCGCATCACTCATACGCCACGTCTCCCCCAGAAGCCGCCGCTCGCCATAGTAAATCACTGGAGAGCCCCAGAAAACTCCGCCACTGCTGATGCGGCTTTCTGGCACAAACAAATGGCAACCACAACACTTGACCAGCAAAAACGGGAGTACGGAGGGGATCGGGATCGGGATCCCGACGGGCAAACAGTTTGCAACTAGACTGAGCTGGCAGCGATTAAACCGAGCCAAAGAGTGAATAAAAAACAGCAAACTCCCGACCAGAGAAACAATTCACTAGGACTTCGTTGGCCTGGCAGTTTAAAGTGCTTCTCGCTGCTTGTCTTCCATTTGGGCCACACTTCAACTTAAAGCTTTTTTCCCCTGACCCGCCACATTCAATTAGATTGGAAAAGTCACCAAATCACTTGCTAATGGCTTCGACTGTCGCTCCTCTAACCATCGCCCATCGTTTTACAGGGCTGACCAGCCAGCCAGACAGACAGACAAATAATATTTATTTATTGATGGCGAAATATGGGCGGCAGCAACTGCAACATCGTGGCACCCGCCAAACTGTCGGCAACATTTATAAATTATGATTGCAATCAACGTTCAACAAAAGCGCGTTCCACCATCAGCAGGCAGACTACGTCCTGTAAGTTGGTTGATCTACTCTTTAACTTTTGGGTATTTGCAATCCCCAGTGGGGAAAGCATTTGTAAATTAAATTTGGTACCCCTCTTTATAGATATAAATAAATATATATAAATGTATATAACTCTCCAAGCCCAGTAGCAACGAGCTCATTATAGCAACGAAGTTGCGCCTATGAAATTCGCAGTTTAAAAATTCACTAATTAACAATTATACAAACTTTAATATTTAATAATATTAAATAAAAAATCGAAAACCGTTTTATTCAATGTTCAAAAGTCTAAGGTCTATTTAAATGTATCTATTAACTTAGCACTTAAGTATTTATTAAAAGCCTTTAA